AAACTAATTCAACAAAAATTATAAAGACAAATTATCCCGTCATAACTTGATACAAACCTTTTATATTGTTATTTTCTTCCGCATTTGATAATAATAAATTTTAATTATAGGACGCGAGCATCTTTGTGGGTTTCTATTATTATCAAATACATTTAGTTCTCAAACCGCGGCAAACAAGAGAATAAAATATGATAATATATAGTATATATATAAAATAAACACACAATTTTTTTGACAAACCCTTTCAGTGGTTAGTACAGTAGTAAATTTAACAGGGCCAGAACGTCGTGGAGTGGAGATCGTAAACTTTAATCCAATCTATCGTCGTTCTAAAATTATTATTTTTTACTTACAACGTGCCACTATCCCGGTTTCTACCATAAACTTTCTGCCGTCTTTGGCTAGACGTCCTTTTCATACTTGGTATAAATAAGTTATATTACAAAGTATGAACTTAAAAAATATGAAATACATTAATTATTTGTTTTTTACTTGGCTGTTGCAGGCTGAGCATTTGATACTTGAACGTTGGGAGATGACTTCCTCAGTTCAGTATAGAAATCATTGCCGTTAGCCATTAAATGTGCTGAAAAAAATAATAATAAAATTTTTTTTTGCGCGATGTCAATAAAGATATCATTCAACAATTTAGGTATATAACAATATAATATAATATAATATTACGTTTCTGGCCCCAAACAGGTCCACTCTTAGGTCCCCATGCTTTTTCTGTTGGTTTATACATCTCTGGTTTTTCTATGGAATAGTAAATCATAAACAAATCAGTATTACAAGTCGTTTGGTAATCTATTGGTTCCTGTTAATCAACTTACCAGATTCCGGAGTATTATTATAATATCGTTCAAGTTCCTCCTTCCATCCTACCAGAATAAGATCATTAAAACGTGTTTGGAACAACCAAAATCCGTAACAATAAGAGAGACACTTACCATTATTCAAAAATGTATCGACCTCCTGAGAGTTGAAATTATTAACTGGTACATGCTCGGGGGTCGGTCTCAAACTGGGCAAAGCCGGGCCAGGTGGGCCTGAAGAAAACGACGCGTTGGATGTTGGTGTAGTTGGTGAAGTTACTGTAGTTGAAACTGGTGGAGCGTTAGTGTGAAGGTCCTTATTTTTACCAGCTACGATCGAAAAAGAGTTTTAAGACAAATAAACGAGATTATTCAAAATCTATAAAAAGATGAACCATTAGATGCTCTTACCGAACGAGTTCTTTCGCTTGGGATTATTGTAATCTCTCCTTTCGTTTTTCTTAAAGCTAACGACAATTAGAAAATGGGGTTTAATAGAGATGCACAGAAGCTACTCATGAAAAATCCAAGTCAACATACTGTCTTTCTTCTTCGCGAGCCATATTTAATTGCAAGAAGTATATATAGTAAACGAAGATAGGTAAGAAGATAAATAAAAGAGTTGCGAGTTTACTACATAGTCTCACAGTTCGCTATAAGCGCCAAATTTCCGAATCTGAAATTGGCCAGAATTACTATCACGTGATATATGCAATATAGAAAAAGGTATTATTGTCAATGCCTAAATTGTAAAAATATATATTGTATTCGTTATTTATTTTCAAGGCATTAATTAATTAATTAGTTTTTTTAAATAATAAATATAATAAAATTGATAAATTATTTGATTAAAAAAATAGATTTCATTAAAAACAATACAGAGACCTTCTTAAAGACATCCTTTATAAATGCATTTATTATGTTTTTTCTTTTTAAATGCATAGTTAAACTTGATTTCAAGTATGTATATAAAACTCTTAATAAAATTATCTCTGTAAATACATATCTTCTATAAATACATATTTTTTAAAAAATTTTCTATGGTTTCAAGAAGTGTTTATTTAGAAAAGGTTTATTTTATTGTATTTGAATAATATTTAAAAATAATTTGTATATAAAATAAATAAAAAAAATTTTTTTTTTATAATTTTTATTATTAAAAACTTGTAGATCAATAATAGTATAGTAAATAATGCTTCCAGGTTTTCAATATATGTTTTTAGTTC